TTATAGCCTTATTCTCTAAAGACACATGTTCAAGGGCACATGCACGCATGGTTGTCAAACTCACATGCCAACTTGTAACCTCTTGAGTTTATTTATGATCACAGACATGCAAATCTGTTTAACTCACTACTAGAACCATTTTCTTGGTCAAAACACTTTCAAGATGTACTTTCTTGCGTGTTTTGAGGTGCGATTAAAACCCATTATGGCTGGGTTTGAACATCTTTCATGATTGTGTCTCTGCTCTATGCTCAGTGCTTGCGTTCAGCTCATCCAGGCAGCCTCTCCTCTGCTTACAGCTTTGGAAGGGATACCAAACTTCAAACAGCACCATGCTCTCCTCAGTTCAAAGGCTTCCAAGCTTTGTTTTCCTCTATTTCACCTTCAAAGCTTGTGTTGCAGATTCATTCCTCCAAGCTCGCCATGAGCCATTTTCATCACTTCATTTGTTCATTTGTGAATTGTGATTTTCATGAGCGTCATTCTTCCAAGCTCGTGCCATCCTGAATTTATGATTTGTGTATTTTTGTATGACAATCATAAGCCTCTGTTCTCTATATCATATTTTTGTATGAGCCCAAGCGTTCAGACTGATATAATATGATACGTGTCCTAAATTATGTTCATGCATATATGTAATCTATAGGTTTTTTAATATTATTTTTATAATTAGGTAAACACTTACGAGTTTACAAATTGAGTATACAGAGGCTCTACCAGTTTGCACAAATTCTAAAGTTTGACAACCTTAGAATCATATTAAAATCATATTAAAATCTCCCATTATTTTGTCTTCATTTTCAAATTTACTTTCCAAAATTTCCTTCTTAAATTGTTTTCTTAAAAGGGGTAGGAGAGTTTATTCCTAGACCCGCCACATAATTAGAGGCATATCATGTGAAAGACAAAATAGCGAGGGAAAAAAGAGCAAATAGCTATAGTGATCCATCGACACAAAATCACAGATTTGGTATCCCTACCTTTATTTTTACTTTAATTTGACTGTGGGTGCAGGAACTCGTTCCAAGTGTCAACAAGGTATTTGACTTCTTGGACATGCCATTTTATTAATATATGTAGTTTGACACTTATCTGTAGAGCTTGTGAAATTTTTTCTATGAATAAGTAAGGGATTTTGTTTCATGTTTAACCTGACTCTATAAATGATTAAATATGCACTTCATGTTTAATTTTGTTTCATTGTTCAATGATTTGTCTTGATAGATTTCGGTAATTTTATGGAATCTTATAGATATTTTCATTACGAACTTGGTATGTAACCATCTACAATTCTAAACTCTTACAAAATATTGTTGTTGCATGTAAAAATTTCTTAAAATATAATGCTTAAATGAGATTCCAAATGAATTAATGAATTACATTGAATATTTGAATATGAAGTGATCGCTGGGCACTGCATTATTCATTGGTTTATTAATGCAACGACCAGAATGAAGTGTTAATTTTTGGGCTCCTCTAATTTGCCTTGTTTTTTTTGTTCTTCCTTCTTTTTGGAAGAATAGCTAGAATATAGATCAAATCAGTTTGAGTTTATAAAGTGGCATCTACCATGGCCTATATAATTCTCAAATCAGTTTTGCATGAAGTTTGTGCTCTTAAAAAAATCTCCTGATAGCCATGTCTCACATGATTTTTATATCTATGAAGAAGCCAATTTAGCTTCTTGTTATGTCATTTTGTTCTTTCTTGAAAGCATGATTATTTTAATGTATTAAAGCGAAAATAAATTTCTGACAATAGAAACAAGTTACTAATATACTATGAAGGCCAACAAGACCACTTACTTGTACAGAACTGGTGATAGTTACTTAAGAACAACTTTTTGCTTTTCATAGTTAATGTGAGTACATGTGCACACACGTGGCACGCGAACATACATTTTCCAATGCGTGCTTATAGCCTTATTCTCTAAAGACACATGTTCAAGGGCACATGCACGCATGGTTGTCAAACTCACATGCCAACTTGTAACCTCTTGAGTTTATTTATGATCACAGACATGCAAATCTGTTTAACTCACTACTAGAACCATTTTCTTGGTCAAAACACTTTCAAGATGTACTTTCTTGCGTGTTTTGAGGTGCGATTAAAACCCATTATGGCTGGGTTTGAACATCTTTCATGATTGTGTCTCTGCTCTATGCTCAGTGCTTGCGTTCAGCTCATCCAGGCAGCCTCTCCTCTGCTTACAGCTTTGGAAGGGATACCAAACTTCAAACAGCACCATGCTCTCCTCAGTTCAAAGGCTTCCAAGCTTTGTTTTCCTCTATTTCACCTTCAAAGCTTGTGTTGCAGATTCATTCCTCCAAGCTCGCCATGAGCCATTTTCATCACTTCATTTGTTCATTTGTGAATTGTGATTTTCATGAGCGTCATTCTTCCAAGCTCGTGCCATCCTGAATTTATGATTTGTGTATTTTTGTATGACAATCATAAGCCTCTGTTCTCTATATCATATTTTTGTATGAGCCCAAGCGTTCAGACTGATATAATATGATACGTGTCCTAAATTATGTTCATGCATATATGTAATCTATAGGTTTTTTAATATTATTTTTATAATTAGGTAAACACTTACGAGTTTACAAATTGAGTATACAGAGGCTCTACCAGTTTGCACAAATTCTAAAGTTTGACAACCTTAGAATCATATTAAAATCATATTAAAATCTCCCATTATTTTGTCTTCATTTTCAAATTTACTTTCCAAAATTTCCTTCTTAAATTGTTTTCTTAAAAGGGGTAGGAGAGTTTATTCCTAGACCCGCCACATAATTAGAGGCATATCATGTGAAAGACAAAATAGCGAGGGAAAAAAGAGCAAATAGCTAGGAAAATATAGCGAAGGAATAACGAGACAATTGCTAGGGAAATATTGCGAGGGAATAGCGAGATAATTGCTAGGGAAGTATTGCAAGGGAATAGCGAGATAATTGCTAGGGAAATGTTGCGAGGGAATAGCGAGAGAATTGCTAGGAAAATATTGCGAGGGAATAGCGAGAGAATTGCTAGGGAAATATTGCGAGGGAATAGCGAGAAAATTGCTAGGGAAATATTGCGAGACATGTTCAAGGGCACATGCACGCATGGTTGTCAAACTCACATGCCAACTTGTAACCTCTTGAGTTTATTTATGATCACAGACATGCAAATCTGTTTAACTCACTACTAGAACCATTTTCTTGGTCAAAACACTTTCAAGATGTACTTTCTTGCGTGTTTTGAGGTGCGATTAAAACCCATTATGGCTGGGTTTGAACATCTTTCATGATTGTGTCTCTGCTCTATGCTCAGTGCTTGCGTTCAGCTAGTTAGCCTTTAGTATTTTTATTTTATTTGATGTCAGTTGATGACACAATAATATATTTCATATGCAAAATATAGGTACTACAATCTTGATATCAAAACAAAACAATTATGATAGTTATAGTATGAAAAATGCAGGTAAAGATGAATATATGAATATTAAAAATAAAATTGCGACAAAATAGTGAGGGATTAGCGATGATAACCAAAACATAACAGTAAGGGATCTGCTAGGAAATAACGAGACATATCATGTTAAAGACAAAATAGCGAGGGAAAAAAGAGAAAATAGCTAGGAAAATATAGCGAAGGAATAGCGAGACAATTGCTAGGGAAATATTGCGAGGGAATAGCGAGACAATTACTAGGGAAATATTGCGAGGGAATAGCGAGAAAATTGCTAGGGAAATATTGCGAGGGAATAGGGAGACAATTGCTAGGGAAATATTGCGAGGGAATAGCGAGACAATTGCTAGGGAAATATTGCGAGGGAATAGCGAGACAATTGCTAGGGAAATATTGCGAGGGAATAGCGAGACAATTGCTAGGGAAATATTGCGAGGGAATAGCGAGACAATTGCTAGGGAAATATTGCGAGGGAATAGAGAGAGAATTGCTAGGGAAATATTGCGAGGGAATAGCGAGACAATTGCTAGGGAAATATTGCGAGGGAATAGCGAGACAATTGCTAGGGAAATATTGCTAGGGAATAGAGAAGGGTCTGCGAGGGATATTCAGCGAGGGAATTGCAAGGCCTTAGCTAAGAAATGTAGCAAGGGAATAGAGAGGGGTTTGTGAGGGAACATTAGCGAGGGATTAGCTACAAATTAGAGAGGGATATTTTGCGACCCCTTAGCGAGGGAATAGCGGGGAAGCTTGACCGCAAATTAGCGAGCAAATAGTAAGCATCCTTAATATAATTAGCAAGGACCTTAGCGAGGGATTGGCAACAAATTTTGTGAGGGATTGGCGACGGATTAAATCCCTCGCTAATTAGCTACCTGTATTAAGCGAGGGAACGGTCTCTCGCAATTTCATCACTATTCCGTCGCAAATCTGATTAGCGAGGGATCAGAGACGAAATAGCGAGGGAATAGTCCCTCGCTAATATTAAATTTTCTTGTAGTGGAAGTTTGGCTAGCCGTTGGGGCTTGGCTCCTTTGTTGCAATTCATTTGTTCATTTGTGAATTGTGATTTTCATGAGCGTCATTCTTCCAAGCTCGTGCCATCCTGAATTTATGATTTGTGTATTTTTGTATGACAATCATAAGCCTCTGTTCTCTATATCATATTTTTGTATGAGCCCAAGCGTTCAGACTGATATAATATGATACGTGTCCTAAATTATGTTCATGCATATATGTAATCTATAGGTTTTTTAATATTATTTTTATAATTAGGTAAACACTTACGAGTTTACAAATTGAGTATACAGAGGCTCTACCAGTTTGCACAAATTCTAAAGTTTGACAACCTTAGAATCATATTAAAATCATATTAAAATCTCCCATTATTTTGTCTTCATTTTCAAATTTACTTTCCAAAATTTCCTTCTTAAATTGTTTTCTTAAAAGGGGTAGGAGAGTTTATTCCTAGACCCGCCACATAATTAGGCTTTGTGATTCTAATTACAGGTATGTTGTTAGGTGGCCATCATTGCAGTCTATAGTGATCCATCGACACAAAATCACAGATTTGGTATCCCTACCTTTATTTTTACTTTAATTTGACTGTGGGTGCAGGAACTCGTTCCAAGTGTCAACAAGGTATTTGACTTCTTGGACATGCCATTTTATTAATATATGTAGTTTGACACTTATCTGTAGAGCTTGTGAAATTTTGTCTATGAATAAGTAAGGGATTTTGTTTCATGTTTAACCTGACTCTATAAATGATTAAATATGCACTTCATGTTTAATTTTGTTTCATTGTTCAATGATTTGTCTTGATAGATTTCGGTAATTTTATGGAATCTTATAGATATTTTCATTACGAACTTGGTATGTAACCATCTACAATTCTAAACTCTTACAAAATATTGTTGTTGCATGTAAAAATTTCTTAAAATATAATGCTTAAATGAGATTCCAAATGAATTAATGAATTACATTGAATATTTGAATATGAAGTGATCGCTGGGCACTGCATTATTCATTGGTTTATTAATGCAACGACCAGAATGAAGTGTTAATTTTTGGGCTCCTCTAATTTGCCTTGTTTTTTTTGTTCTTCCTTCTTTTTGGAAGAATAGCTAGAATATAGATCAAATCAGTTTGAGTTTATAAAGTGGCATCTACCATGGCCTATATAATTCTCAAATCAGTTTTGCATGAAGTTTGTGCTCTTAAAAAAATCTCCTGATAGCCATGTCTCACATGATTTTTATATCTATGAAGAAGCCAATTTAGCTTCTTGTTATGTCATTTTGTTCTTTCTTGAAAGCATGATTATTTTAATGTATTAAAGCAACTATAGGGATCATGAGACCCGATCGAAGTTGGATGTTGCGAAGATTTGATTGCTTCGGCATTGTAAATGAAGAATTCAGACAAGGGGTTGATGGTTTCATTCGAGTTGCTACAAGAGACTCGAAAATTGCCGATGTATCAGGGCGCATTCCTTGTCCATGCGCAAAATGTAGGAATCGATATTGGGATACTACATTTAATTGGAAAAACATTTGTATCACCATGGATTTGTCGATGGTTGTAGGTCCCTTTACCACACCTGTTAGAGAAGACATCACTACATTAGCTACACAAATGTCTCAAATGCAAGAACAGATGCAGTCACAATTGAATCTACAAACACAATCCCAAATGCAATTGCAGACACAACTACAAGCACAGATGAAGGCACAAGCACAATATATGCAGGCACAATTGAAGGCACAAGCTGATATGCAAGCACAAATGCAGGCACAAATGCAGGCACAAATGAAGGCACAAGCAGAAATGCAAGCACTTTTGCAACAACAAATGCAGGAACAAATGCAGTTTTTGAGGAAAGAGATATTACCTGCCTTAAAGATGTTCCAAGTGTCAACAAGGTATTTGACTTCTTGGACATGCCATTTTATTAATATATGTAGTTTGACACTTATCTGTAGAGCTTGTGAAATTTTGTCTATGAATAAGTAAGGGATGTTCATGAATTAATATAATAACCAATAGAATTAGTAAATTAATATAATTTCATCATAAACAGTAAAACCCCTAATTGTTCCAAAACCTAGCTCACAAGCATTTTTCTACAATTTCGTTCTCTCTCCCAGATCATCATTCTTACAAATTGTTAGCATATTTATAATACTCAACACATACAGAATCTAATGGTATAATTATTTCCTCAAACAGAAATAATCAAATTTTTCCAAAACCTAACCTACAGGCACTTTTCTATAATTTCGTTCTCTCTCCCAGATCATCATTCTTACAAATTGTTAGCATATTTATAATACTCAACACATACAGAATCTAATGGTATAATTATTTCCTCAAACAGAAATAATCCAATTTTTCCAAAACCTAACCTACAAGCACTTTTCTATACTAGATCATCATTTTTACAAACAAATCATATATTTGTTGTCCTAAATATATACAGAATCAAATAATGCCAATAATTCTTCAAACATAAATAATTATAAAATTACTCATAATCCTAAAGGATTCTTCCTCTACCCAATTCCCTCATGTAACTCTACATATAAATAATTCCCTTTTTCCCCCGTACCTGGATACGTAGAAGCTGAATTTATACGAGATCTGGTTGGTCTCCCTCGCTGGGTTCCCCTCGGTCTGAAGCAGAAAGTAGAGGGAAAAGAAGAGAGAGCAGAAGAAAAGAAATCAGAAAATGAGAGGTGTGCCTTTTCAGAGTGGCAGACAGCTCAATTTATAGGCCTCAGACTTTGCCAGAACGACCCGTTCCAATTTCGGAATGACCCGTTCTGGACCCCAAAATCGTGGGCAAAAATCACACCCAGAACGGCCCGTTCCCAAACCAGAACGGCCCGTTCTGGTTGCATTTATTACTCACAACTATCGCAGCCCATTCCAAGCCCGTTCCCACTTAAAGTATAAAGCAGTTTTTAATAGTCCAGAACGGCCCGTTCCAACTTGAGAATGGCCCGTTCTGGCCTACGAACTAACATACAATCTGGTAGTCTGGAACGGCCCGTTCCAATTCCAGAACAGCCCGTTCCCAGCTACTAAATCACAATCATTTTGGTAGTTTGGAACGGCCCGTTCCAATTCCAGAACAACCCGTTCCAAGCTACTAAATCACCTCTATACCTTTATAAAATTTACCAAAATACCCTAAAAAATAAAATAAAAATGAAATAAGAAAAATGGGGTGTTACAAATTTGATATTCAATTTTAACAAAAATTGATATAAACATATAAAGTGATATGAACTTTCAATTTAACGGTTGGATTTACAAAATTCACATTTAATATAAAGTTATTAAACAATGTAATACTTAGTAAAAGTTATACCAGTGTTATTATAACCGTTCTCATTTTAAAATATAAAAATTATTATTTAAATTTTTAAATTTATAATAGATAATTTAAATAATTTTAAATAGAAATAAGTAGCTTGTTAATTATAAAAGTAAGTATATATATAAATAAAGATTATTTAAATATAATATAATTATTATTATTAGTAATATAATTATTATATATATTATTATATATTTATAAGGGTTCGGATACACCAAAATGATAAGGATCTAAAGATAATATAAGTATGAGATTGGATAGTTGAGAATGACTTAAATGAATTAATTTGTACTACTTATACAAACAACATGCATATGCTTTTCGGTAGCTTATCTCATCAGAACTTCACAGTTAAGTGTGCTTGACTTGGAGTAATATAGGGATGGGAGACCTTCTGGAAAGTTTCCAAAAAATTTGTAATTAAGGACAAAACATGCTAAAAAGTTAAGTATTGTGAAAAAAAATCCTTAAGAGGCCAAATATGAGTAGTTCGTAGCGACCAAATTTGCGACGTCTATAAAATTTTATAAATAAAAAATAAATATTTTGCGACCGATTTAGCGACTGATTTATTCGGTCACTAATTTGGTCCCATACACTTCAGCGACCAAAATCATTGCAACCATTTTGCGACCGAATTAGCAATCAAATTTTTTTGTCGCTAAACAACGACCAAAATTTTTTTGGTCGCTAAATAGCTTAGCGACCTGGGTTTTAGCGACTGATTAAATTCTGTCGCTAAGGTAAATAGCGACCGATTTCAGCAATTTAACAACCAATTTTGGTGGTCGCTAAATTGCATAATTTTTGTAGTGAACGTGCCACCAAGTATACTGCTGTAGCAACATACCAGTGATGAGAAATGTGAAACTTCTGTATAGCGCCTCATGCATGCATTTATGATTTGAGTCCATGACATTATTGCATGATAAGTGAATGTATATGCATTTTAATATCTATAACTTGAGAGTATGCTTGGTTATGTGTAACTGGTGTGGTATTTGTTATGATTGTGTGAGTGTTACCTAACATTTATTTCAACACTTGAACCTGAGTGAGATGTTTCTCACTCCCTTATTCTTCTATGTATATTTTATTGTGTTACAGGTGATCATCAACATGAGAATGTTGGTGATGAGGCTTAGGCTTCAGTTGGGCGTGTCCTGATAGGATATGTGACATCGAGGCGTAGTTAGGACTAGTTTAGAATGTTGTTTCCATTGAACTACTTTGAAAACCTCAATTTCTTTCCTTTGTAATTTCCGCATTGAAGATATTGTTTACGAGTTTATGAATGTGAATCCTCTATGTAAGATATTTGAGAATTTGGTTTTATTTATGAAAGATTTTAATTATTCCTATTCATTGTGTAATCATGAATGTGGGGTAGAGGGTGTCACACAGCCATTCACTATTCTTGAATTTCACAAAAATTGTGAGATCGCGATTGCATTTTACATTTTTATGAAATTTAATAGATCTAAATTTAGATTTACATTTTGATTCTATTTATGTTGATTTAGGTTGATTGAATTCGGATTATAATTTAAATCGTGAAAGTTTTACCATATTGATTGATATCTTGAATCGATATATTTTCAATTGAAATTTTTAATTGAGTTTTTTGTTTCAAGTTGCAACACTCTAATTTCTCTTTATTGTTCGTAAAAATATATTTCCTAATTGTGTGATAATTTCGGATCCTATTGGCTTGTGTCTTCAAGAAGATTAACCTAGGTTATTCCCTATATTAAAAATCTTTGGGAAAAATCAGTGATTTTTCATAGTGAATTGGCAACGCTATGAAAATAGCTTTGTTGTTTGGGGAAAAATTTATTGTGTCTTGATTTTATCATGCCTACTATCGCAACCTAAAAACTTCTGATCTTGCGACCTATGGTTTAGACATCCTTTTGAATATCTCATCAATTAAGGAATGCCCGGACACCAGACTAATCCCTAATTAAAGGTTTTGAAAATAAGTTCATGGAGTTGCCACCAATGTTTTACTCAAAACATTGGAAAAAGAAGAGGTTTTTAAAAGTCCAATAATGGCCCTGATAACCAGAATTGGGTTCGGGGGTCGGTTACAAGTAGGGAAGGTATTAAGCACTCCTACAATGCCCTAAATCGGTACCCTATGATGAAGATAAGGTAATAAGAATTAATAGTTTAAATATTTAATCCCTTTATTAATGATTATTTACATGAAAATTAAATTACACGGTGAACCCTAAGATATCTACATAATTGCATTTATTATAGCAATATATGAAATAAAAGAAGAGAAAGATAGAATAAGAGATTGATGAGTAATAACTCGTAGCAAGCTTTATTAGATCTTCAACTATGGAGATTTTAGGTGCTTTGTGGCAACCTTTCACACTATAATATGCCTCACAAAACTCAAGAAATACAATAGGAGAGAGAGAGAGAGAGAAATTTCGAGCTCTAAGGAGTCTTGGACAAAATTTTTGAGGCCCTGAGAACTGTGTCCAAGCTGTCTATTTATAGGCATCAGAAGGGTTTCCAGAACGGGCCGTTCTGGTTTGGAATGGCCCGTTCTGGATCTAAACGTTCTGTGTTAATCACGCACCTGGGAACGGCCCGTTCTAAATTGAGAACGGTCCGTTCCGGAGTTGAAATTAACACTATGTTCCCTTGCTTAGAACGTCCCATTCCAAACTAGGTTTTTAGGCCTTTTTAACAGTTTGGAACGACCCTTTCTGGTTTAGGAACGACCCGTTCCAGGCCAGGTTTTTAAGCCTTTTGATTGGTTTGGAATGGCCCGTTCTGGTCTGGAACGGCCCGTTCCAACCAAGAGTCTTTAAGCCTTTTAGGTGGCTCGGAACGGCCCGTTCCAATTTAAGAATGATGCGTTCCAGATTCGGGAACGGCCCGTTCCAGTTTTGGAACAGCCTATTCCAGGCCACTAAAACTAGTTATTTTGGGTTTTTGGCCCTCTGATGTCCTATCTTGTTGTTTTCCTGCTTTGGGAGCTCCTTCCCTTCATAACAGAGGTCTATTTCCTTGTTTGTATGCTCCCGGACGAAATTGGGTGTCTACAGCTGCCCCTCTTTACTTGTCCTTTGGAATAGTAATGTGTTGCTTTTCCAAAGGCAAGTAAAGACGTAGACATTTCGTCCGGGTCTTCTCTTTGTCTCTTTGGTGCTTCTGCGTTGTTTCCCTTGTGATAATGTGTAGCTTCTTCC